AGTTGCATTCTCTACCAGTACCTACTGTTTTTCATGAGACAGCATCGAAACATGTTTTTTTATGTGAATTTTCGAATTAATTTTTCTGAACTTTATCAGTGGTGTTTCTCAATGGTACCTACCTATGAGCGATGGTACTTAATAAGAACTTAAAAGGGCCGTTGAATGATCAGAGAAAATTGGTGGGTGTCAACGCAATCTACAGGGACGACCGCAGATAATCTTATCTTCTACGACTATCTTGTTACCAATAACAATCTATATCTATTATGATGAATAACTTCTAAATAAAAAAATTGTCCTACTTTGATATAATAATACATTTCTTACGACTGGAGTAGGTAAGCGGCAATTTTTTTTTTAAAGTTACCACATCCTCTCACTCTCTCACTGATTTTCCCATGATAAACTAACCTGCGCTGCGCTGCATAATCTGCTAATTGAAATAGCGGCTCAGCATAATTATTATGGTTAATAGCGACAGCAATCTCAACACTTTGTCAAATAAAACTAGCTACATAACTAGCAATATCCACAGTCATGTTTGTTGTTATTCACTTCACTTTGCTTACACTGAAAATAAAGATAATTATACTACCTTTTAATTTTATACTCATTTTACGCGAGACATGCATGCAAGAAATCGAAATAGGTACTACGCATGCGCATTCATTGTAAGTAAGCCTTACCTAAATGCCCACGTTTATTGTTTATTTATTTATTTATTTACACAGTTTTATTTTATAGATACGAGTAGATGTAATGTTGCACAACCTGGACAAAAGATATAAGTATTGCTGCTACATACTATGAGTAAAACGCATTGTGTATGTACCTATCTATTAACTTAACATCTTCGGGTATCATGTAAAATGTTTTTGTTTCTTACAAAAGTGAAGGAACCTTTATCAATATTTTCCTGTTTACAAGGATGGTGTTCTAAAAAGAGTTTATGTACCTTTAACTAAGGTCACTTCACGTTCAGATGTTTATTTTACATAATTTTAACACTTTTATATAGCTAGCAATCTAATAATTGTTAAAAATACAAAAACTTACATTATGAAGCTGATACACAACATTTTTATTTTATAATCTTTCCCGCGTTTTTTTTTCATGAAGCGGAAAGAAGGAAGTGTGCAGCGCCGCGCGGGCTATTGCAGAAACAAAAATCCATAAACAATTGGTCACTTTTTTTAAACATTATTTATTCCCCTGATCTCAATGAGTCGGTAAAATAGTGGAAATTATTTACAAATGGCAACTCAATAGATTCCTCGTCAAAAGAAAAATGCCGCTGCCAAGAGGAAACGTAATGATAAAGGTATTTTGATAAATAAAATTATTGCCGATATCATTAGATCGACTCTATTAATGCAGACGTGTGAATGTGAAACCAAATTCGAAAGTTTTAGTAATAATCTGGCAATAGTGATTGTGTGGAATGACCATTATCTGAAATATATTTGGTTATAGGTTGGTTTTCTGCGTTGACAGTGGAGTTCGCGTATTTTCTTTTGTAAGGCTACTTAGCAGGATAAAATGTTCGAAATGGTTAGTATCATTATCATTTACATAAGCTTCTTTATGTGTTCTTACTGTAAATATATATGAACGACATAAAACAACTACCTAACGAGAGCCATTGTTTTCAGAATACGGCGGAACCTATGCAGGTGGATGTGCCGATGGAAGACAACGAGAACAATGAGACAGAATGTTACGTTGTTGAGAATCCCACTCTAGACCTGGAAACCTATGCAGCTTCATATACTGGTTTTGCCAAATTGTACAGACTCATGTTTGTAGCAGACCACTGTCCCTCACTGAGATTAGAAGCTCTGAAAATGGCTATTTCATATGTGATGACCACCTACAATGTGAGCTTATATCAAACACTTCACAAAAAGCTTGCGGAAGCTGTAGCTTCTGCTGGACTCCCTGATGTTGCCCAAATGGGATCTCAAGACATCCCTGTGCTTGACACAATGTGGGTGGAATCCAAAACCAAAAAGGCTGCCATTAAATTGGAAAAACTAGACACAGACCTCAAAAATTATAAAACCAACTCAATAAAAGAAAGCATCAGAAGAGGACATGATGATTTAGGTGACCATTACCTCGACTGTGGAGATCTGACTGGTGCCCTGAAGTGCTACTCCAGAGCTAGAGATTACTGTACAAGTGGAAAACACATTATCATTATGTGTCTGAATGTAGTTAGAGTATCAGTATATTTACAAAATTGGGCACATGTCCTCAACTATGTGTCTAAAGCGGAGGGCACACCAGATTTTAACGAAGTCCCAGCAAAAGATTCTAATCAGTCCATACTAACACGCTTAAAATGTGCTGCTGGCCTGGCTGAATTAGCAACGAAAAAGTATAAATCAGCTGCAAAACATTTCTTAGCTGCCAGCATTGACCACTGTGATTATTCAGATCTGCTGACAAGTAACAATGTTGCAGTCTACGGGGGCCTGTGTGCGCTGGCAACATTTGATCGCTCTGAGTTACAAAAGCAAGTCATAGTTAGCAGTTCTTTTAAATTATTCCTAGAACTAGAGCCGCAGTTGCGAGATATTATTTTTAAATTCTATGAATCTAAGTATGCTTCTTGCCTGAGGTTACTGGATGAAATAAAGGACAATCTCCTACTAGATATGTATTTAGCACCACACTTAAACTCATTGTATATGCAAATCCGCAATAGAGCACTGATCCAGTACTTTAGCCCGTACTTGTCAGCAGACATGAGGCTCATGGCTGCTGCTTTCAACCGCACCGTCACTGCACTTGAAGACGAGCTGATGCAGTTGATACTTGATGGACAAATACAAGCTCGCATTGATTCACACAACAAAATTTTGTATGCTAAAGATGTGGACCAGAGAAGCACTACTTTCGAAAAGAGTCTTGCAATGGGGAAAGAATATCAACGGCGGACCTCCATGCTGATATTACGTGCTGCTATGCTCAAAAATCAGATCCATGTCAAGGTGAGTTTACAATTCTCATTTAAAACTAATAATGATTATTTCTTATTTCTTGCTAAATCTAATATCACTTAACTGTCCACATAAGCTTTCGTTTTGTTCATTCTAGTAGTTCAGGGTTTCCTGTAAAGCTGGAATAGTCTTAAAAGATTCTGGAATAATAATTTAAGTGTATAGAAGATTCTAAACAGGGAATAGTATTTTTTTAAATCACATTTAATCATTGACATAATTATGTATTCAGCCAGATTTCCTATATGGCCAGGGGTGGCCAACTTGATTATACATAAGATCTACTGTTTACTAACGAAACCCTGGGCGATCTATCACTTACATACTTCTTGAAATCTTAAATGAAACATAGTTTGGTACACAATCTTGTAGTAATTTTTGCCTAGCCACGATCGACTGGACTAATATTCGCGATCGACCGGTTGGCCACACTTGCCTATGCAATCATTATAAACCAATAATGACTGTTCTTGTGCAGGCCTAGCACCTATCACGGTTATTCACACTATACATATAGGATAAATAAATAAATAAACTTAACATTAATAGGCAAATATTTTATATCATGCGATAGCCAATAAAATTATCTATTAGTAGAAGAAGAAAACAGACACAAGTTTCATACATTTTATGGGAGTAAGAATGGATTTAATTACAAAAAGACATTACTTTTTTCACTTCTTTTTCAGTTATTTTCCAACACAAGAAAAACCAGGTCGTTAAGGTATGTTTTATTTGCATTGTATTATTAATAAATTAACATTTGTTTTGTAGAATAGCTCAAATACTAATTAGTATTTGAGCTATTCTACAAAACAAATGTTAATTTATTAGTCTACGTTTATTAGTTTCGACGTAATTGTTGAACAAAGATACCCCTTCCCAGCGGTTTCCATAGCGCACGCGACATGCAAATAAATAAATAAATCTTTGGACAATTTCACACAGCGCCAGCTAGCCCCAAAGTAAGCAACTTAATGCTTGTGTTATGGGTGCTAGCTTAACGGATATACTACTTATATACTTTTTTTTTAAATACATAAATATTATACATAGTCACACCCAGACCCGTCACAGAAATTAAAATTCATCATTTCAATTTCTGCCCGGCCGGGAATCGAACCCGGGACCTCTCGGCATAGTAGTCCGTTCTGAACCACTACACCAAACGGCCGACAAATAGAACAAGTAACAGCAGATAGGACAGGATACCTTGTATGAGCGTTCCTATTTTAAAAATTAATTATTCCCTATTTAATTTACAGAATGTCGGCCGGGACATCGGTCCGCAGAGCGGCGAAGCCCCGGGCTCCAGCACTAGCATCCCCACACGCACCTTCGACACCGTGACTTTGTGATGAATTACTCATTATTCTAATGAAAATCGTCAATGTGTTTGCGTGACAGTTTAAGTTGTATTACCGGTGTCTAACTGCATGCAATACCAGAACACTATGTTCATTTTGTGAATATTAGCCACAACACTATTGTAATTGTCATGCAATATTTTAAAGAACACTTTGTGTACTTTGAAACTCATTTTTCTTTATTATTTAGTAAGGATGAACAAATGTGCTCATGGCTTCAGTAATTTAATAATTTAAATAAACTGCTGATGCAATGGAAATTTCTATCAGCAATCACAGAAAAATGAACAGCTGGTGCAAACATTATTAACATTGTTTATACTGAATTATTCTATGTAACCACAAAATATTATGTCAACGTAATTTTTAATTAAAAAGTAAAGGCATCAAAAATTGGTTATTTTAATTCCCCATTTAAATACACCAACAAGTGCGTGGCAAAGCTGGCAAAATGTAGGTATCTGGGGAGTACGATATCGTGCAATATATCAATAGTGACGTCCGTCCTATACTATCGATACTGTTACGTCCGATACTATCCATAGTATTCCCACAAAGTAATGATATTGCTACACGCAATCAGGATTATTTTACTTCAGTTGGTTGGGAGCTCCAAAAAATAATGTGACAAATACATAATAATTTATTGATTAAGTTCAAGGCAATAACAAGGTTTATAAATCACTGAAGAAAGGTTTAATTTCTATACAAAAATACATGCAATTTAAAATTATTTCACACTTATAAATTCTGCTTATTTTACATTCAAATCACAGTATCCTACTATCAGTTTCACTGTAGTCGTCGTTAGCTAGTTAATTTAACATTAATCTAAGCATCCCTTTCACAACATGCGATAGGTTCAATGCAAGCTGGGCAACTGCCGGTTGCGACTCCGAAAGCGGGCGGGCGACCTCCGCCAGATGACACTAACCACTGAAAACAAATTTATTTGTTTAATTATATTGACACCAATTTTTTAAGGACTTTTTTTCAAATACTATGTGAAATTTAAGTTTGTGAGCTGAGCACTAAATAATGGACTTGGTATATTATACCTTAATTTTTTCAAGAAAAAGACTTGGTATTTAGAATAACTGTAAGTCCTGATTTATCTCATTTTATTATTGATATTACACAATACAAACCTGAAATAGACAGTTTCTATGAAAGTAAGTCCCACAAAGAAGGTTTGGGCACAGAGGAAGAGGCATCGCTGAACTCTCTGGCAACTCGGCACACAAGCAAATACCACAGAGAATTGGGTCAACCATAAGGCGGTCCTCAGTTGATATTGTAGTTGTTGATGACTTTCTGGAGTCTGCAGGGAAATTGACCAAATCTAAAAAATAAAACAAATATCAACCAACCAGTTCAAGACAAAAATAATGCTGAAAATATAAACATTTTTATAATTACCAAATACAGTAGTGATGTTCTCTATAATTTCTTTGTCATGATCCCAAGACAGAAGCCCTTGCTGCAACCTATTACTCCATAAGTCAGACTGACCTACAAGATGGACATTGCTTGCTAAACCATCAGGAGTAACTTCTATATGCAACCAGATTCTGTCATCTAAAACACAAAATCATACAATAAAAAATGGCTTGCTAACTAGAAACGTCAAATAAGAATCATACAGGAAAGAAAGCTTTTATCTCATTACTCAAATTCGAATCTTACCAAGAAGTATTCTTCTAAAGTCATCCTTGAAGGTAGGTTCAGCTGGTTCCATGACGGTACAAAATCTATCAATGCGCTCCAGTTCATGAAAATATGTAGATAAACTATCCACATGCCTCTTGAATGTAAAAATTATTTCTTCGAGTGTACTGTACTCCCTATCTTGAAGTGGTGAATGAGGTAAAATAACCGACTTTATAATCAACTTCTTTGGACCTTTATAAGAAACAAAAATCGGATGTTCTCTAAGCCTCTCATCAAGTATAACACATTTAACATCTCTAAGAGTTTTGCCAAAGTAAATTGGAATGTTTTCATACGCTGTTAGGTTTTTTACATCTTCAAAAAACTCCAAATCAATCAAGTCCGCGGTTACCGCCTCTGTAGTACAAATTTTCTTAGTAACAATCGATTTAAGACTGTCCAAGAGAACGGGTAAACTGTAGTTGTTTCCATTTTGTAGCAAATTCTCAATTTCTTCGACCACATCCATTATTATTCCACTTTCTTTCAACGTTAAATGTAGTAAGAAATTCGCCGCCGCCTTCCGTAATTTATTCAAAATTTTGACATTGGCATTTTTTTGACATTGCGTTTTGTAACCGGAAGTTCATCGGTTTATGGCTACGCACAAGGACTTTTTGTCACTGTGACAATTATATCTTTCTCTGTTACACTTTCATAAAGTGAAAAAAAGAGACATATACTGTCTCGGTAACAAAGCCGCCGGTTATATATCTTGCCGGTCACAAAAATGTGTCGAGCAAGATGTTTGTGAAGAAACGCAAACGATGTATTGGGGGCCATTCATTAGGGGGGAAGGTCGGTCATGTCGTATTTTGTCTTACAAGGAAGAGAGTCTCGATAGTTTGACTCTCGAAACTTTGAAAAATCGCGGGCAACCGCACAAATGCCGAGTTATGCTCGGATGCGTACCCATTAAAAAAATAATTTCCATTTCCGTGACAAAGGACCCGCACTGCGCCTCCCGGGAATTCCCTTGTATACTAGTCGTCAAACGTGTACCTACCATAGTACCTACCTATTAATTTTTTCTTTAGTTTCTTACGTACTAATAAATGTTAAACAGGGGGGAAGGGGTCGGCCTATTCTTTTAAATAAGAGGAGAGAGCACAGATTAGACAGGAGAGGGTCAAAAACTAGGTTTTAGGCATTTTACTAATAAAGTATAAATTTAATGCTTTTTGCTCACTCAAAGCACACGCACACAGTCTTACGTAATAAATTGTAGAGGTTTTAGGAATTAAATGTCATACGATTAATGTAAATAAAACATAAATTCTTAAACACATTCTTTTTATTTCCCACTTTTGGGTACCATAGTCAACAAGGAACCCAGAGCCCCGATTACGGTAACTTTTAACGTCAACAATCCAGACACGCTTCTCGATTCTGCGATACGATTGGTCAAAACAGCTGACGTACGCTGTTGAACGACCAATCGTATCGCAGAATCGAGAAGCGTGTCTGGATTGTTGACGTTAAAAGTTACCGTAATCGGGGCTCTGACCTCTCATCTTTCTATTAGACTATGCAACGTAAGATCGACTTTCGATATTTTGATCGTTCGATTATTTGTAAATTCGATATTCTGAACGTTCGATATTTTGATCATTCGATAGATCGTTCGATGAAACGCGTTCGATATTTTGATTTTTGAAGTAGACCATTGATCATAATCCACAGCATTCTTAGGGTAATTTAAAGACAAATTAAGTAATCTTTATAAATTTATTTTTATCTCACCCTTGGGAGGCGCACTCATTCAAGCTGATTGAGCTTTGATCTTAAACTAATTTATTTTAATAGCTACTTGTACTATGCGATTAAACATTATCATTTATTCCACAACAACACAACAATGACAAATATTAACCATTGATAATAAAGTTACAATAAAACATTATTGTGAGCAATATTGTGTGCTCAAGTATATAAAAACTATAAAATTGTGCTAAAATATACAAGGCAAGATTTTCAGAACAATCATATAAAATTCCTACCAAAGAGCTTGCGTATCTACTCCAAAAATAATTAATTACGCTATCGAAAAAACACTACAGCTTGTACTTTTAAAAAATGAATTTTACAATATGATACAATATCACAAGTCTGATCCCTAGTACTAAATTTAAAAACATAGTCAATAAATAAATTGATTTTAAAAATTCATGCAGATGTCATCTAAAATACTGATAAAATATAAAAGTGCCGCTGTAGTTTACTGCTAAGTATACCTATAGTAATAGGTAACTACTGTAGAGTTAGAAAAAAATCATTGGGGTCTGGCAAGCTTGGTTTCAACTTTAACCATAGTATTATCGTCACCTTTAATCAATTCAACTTTTAATATAGAAAACACTTCTATAGTCTGTTTTATTTCTGGAAGGTCATCTGATATCTTCCAAGTCAGCTCCATTTTGGAAAGCTTAGCACCGGCGTCGTTTTTAATACATTTGTACTCTCCAGGAAAATCCTGTAAACAAGAAATCATTAATGTAAATACATACATAATAATATAAATACAAATTAGATCATTATGTGCTCATTTATCATTGAGAATAGAGAAATCTATATAACATCATGGCAAATTAGCCCCTATAACTACATAAGAGATGCTGCAGTTTAGCTTGACATGATTTTTTCTTAAATAAGTATTTAATTCTGCAGGCCAAATAATTATATCAGTACCTATCATAAATACTTACACTATTAAAAAATATTCTTCTGTTCAATCCCATAGCAATGAGTATGGTGTCAATGTATCTTTCTCTAACTTCAACTACCACAGCATCAATCACTAGAGGTGAATGCAACTCTATGTACTTCAGAGTGTACAATTCAGTTGACAATTCACCAGCTTTTTTTGCGTTATATTTCTGTTTATTGCATTGTGCAGCAACCATGCGCACTTTGTCAACTTCCCATTCAGGTGTGTCCCTAAATTTTATACTAGCAGCTAGTAATCTGAAATGAAAAATAATAATGTTAGATAGAAATAAGACACATTATTAAATAATAATGTTTCATTTAATATTTTTTCTTTGTACCTGTGAACCATAATATCTGCATATCTTCTGATAGGACTCGTGAAATGCGTGTAAAGTGGAACATTAAGAGCATAATGCAGGAAATCATCATCATCACAACCATGGGCACAAAAATATTTAGCCCTTGCCATTGGTTTCGCACACAACATATTCAATACCATAGCTTTGCCTCTATCTTCAGAGGCATGCTTCAATAATGATTTATGCAGTGCACCAGCTGAAGATATTTTCAGTTTTATGCCCATAGGTTGCAGTGCGTTTGCCAGTTGTCTTAACATGAAACCACTTGGTGGAGGGTGACACCTCAAAAATGCTAAATCAGGGTGATCCTCATGAATTCTATTTGCTACAGTCATATTTGCAAGCAACATGAACTCCTCAATGAGTTGATGACTTTCTTTATTTTCATATAAACAGAATGATTCAGGCATACCATTCTCAGGATTAAGTCTAAATGAAACTTTAGGTTGGTCAATCTTCAATGCACCACCTTCAAACCGTCTATTACGAAAAACTGCTGCGATTTTGCCAAGAGTTTTGATAGATTTATAGACATCTTTGAACTGATATCCATTGTAGGTCTCAGGGAAAATACTTTCAGCATCATCTCTGTCTTCAAGAATCGCTTGTGCATGATCATAAGCTAACTGGGAACATGAGTGAATGACAGTTTTGGCAAATCTATGTGTGAGCACTTCTGCATTGTCATTTATTTCCCAAAATACTGAGAAAGCCAATTTGTCTACTCCAGGTAACAGTGAACATAACATACATAGATCATCCGGAAGCATGTGATAAGCCCGCTCTACCATGTATATTGTAGTAGCCTTTTCTGCTACTTTTTCGTCAAGGAGGGTATTCTCCGTTAAAAAGTGAGTCACATCTGAAATGTGAACACCAATTTCGTAGTTGCCATTTTCCAGTTCACGGCACGAGACAGCATCATCAATATCTCTACAATTAGGAGGATCAATGCTGAATATACACAGTCTCCGACAGTCTTCTCTGATCAGTATTTCTTCAGCTGGTATAGTGTAGTCAAGGCGTGGATACAGATGCCTCACCTCAGGTCCAAATGGAGTTATATCCAAATCTGACTGAGCCAAGATAGCTTTGGTCTCTGAGATCATATCTCCAGATTGTCCAATATTACAGACAATAACACCTACAGCAAATCTAGTATCATACCAGTCTTGGATTTTAGCCAAAAATAAAGTATTCTCATACCTTTTAAAATCCTGATAGAAGTTATCAGGCCAACTTGTAAATGGTATATTAAGCCTTGGTATTCTGTGGTCACGAGGAATAAATAGAGCCTTTTGTCTATTTTTGTCAGCCATTAATTTTAAATTTCCAATACATGTTCTGTTATGTACTTTTTCTTTTATATAAACAATTTTTCCTTTCTTTTGCTTATTGTCGCCTCCATTTTCATTTTCAGTGGTATCTTCGATTAGCTTTACTACCACAACATCAGCTTCTAATGCACGATTACGGTTTTTAAGTCCGTCAATAAGTATGTCCTGTTCACTACGATCATTACTTGATAGATAAGAGTGTTGAAACTGTTTAGGATTTATTCTCAAGACACCCTCAATAAGTGTATTATTTTTTAAGCCCTCTTCTACTTCCTCTGCTGATATGTAAGGCTCAAATTTTCTGTCTTCAATGTTCTCTTCACTCTTCTGTTTCTTCTTAGAGTTAACTTTGTCAGATACAACATTTGGATATTTGTGTCCAGATTGATTAAGTCTATCTTTTTTAGACAAGTTGAGCAATGGATGGTGCAAAGCATTTTGTAGAAATTTTGGGGTGTTTGGCTCAGACAACATGACAGGGGAAGGGAATCCCCTGTGGTTGGCTCTGTTTGTCATGTACACCAATGGTGTGTTAGGAGCACTTACTGGACTTTGCAAATTTTGAAACATTTCTCCTACCTGCACATTGTGCATGTATTGAAAATGAGGGTGATGAGTCATATTTTGTAAATAGCTCGAACTGCTACTTGCACCTATCTGTGCATTTGCATATCTTGCAAATAATTCTTGAATGGGTATCATACCATTGGCTTGGGTGTTGGGCGTCATTTGTGTTTGTGCTTGTCCACTATCACTAGTACCTGGTATCTGTAATCGTTTTAACCTCTCTTTCTTTTTGGCGCTCTTTTTTCTTGGAGACGCAGGTTTATCAACTTGCACCGCAGTCAAAGCCACGGCCTCAGTCCCACTGCTAATGTTTATATTTTCACAATGATTTGTAATATCTTCCACAGAAGTGGTACTGTTCTGCCGAGAGTTCGCATCTTGTTTTTGCTTTGAATTTGTCGATTTCTTTGGTGATTTCTTACTCGGTGATGCATTGTTTTCCTTTTTCTTATTGTTTACGGAGCATTTCGATCGAAGTGGCTGCGACGTGGACGAAGTCGATGGTGTGTCAATATTTCCCTCCACCGCATTACCGCTTGATGTGGATTCATCCATTAATAAGCCTTGATCTGAAAAATCACAACTCAATTTTGGTAACAGAATTTATTAATATTTTTAATTATTTATTGACAGAAAAATAACCCCTTACTTTTGCGGAAAAAAAATACGTTGTTGTTTTTTTAATTAACGGACTACTTTACTACAAGCAAAGGCAACAAACTTTCACTGACAAGACAAACTAAAAGTTGATTAGTCACATCGAGTCTCGTTTACTTTCGATCTTAAAAAGGAGAAGACCTTAAAAATGTACTCCTTAGCATAACACTATTCATTACCTACAGATTAAAGCATTTGTGTTTGTATTGGACTGGGTGTTTTTATTACACTAATCTAGAAGAAGAAGTTCTAATTTTGTTACTCTCCGATTGCCGATTGTAGAATTTGTAGATAATAATGTTCTAAATTAGAAAATTGTATTATAATCGTAAAATCATTTTGTTATTTTTTTATTCTCTTGCATCACTTGCATAAAGGAAATACTCTAAGCGTTATTATAGTTACATTTCACGAAATCGTTACGATCGTGTCGATTGTCGATCTAATCGATAGTAGATTACTTTAAAATTTTATAAAATAAACTCTATTATAATTTAAAAAAAAGAAAGTCAAACTTGTCAAACAAATGTCAAGTCTTGATCGATGCAAAATTGCAAAAACATTTTCAGGAACCACAAATTTTAGCCAGTATTACATTTAAATAATAATAATCAATATTATTTGCTCACCAATTTTGTTTCCAATTGAAAAACTACATAATAAAACGGGGTCTATCATTTTTACTTATAGTTACTTTGGAAGATAACCTAAAACGAAGCTAGCGGTCGCCGAAGTTTATTAAAGTTACCATCATGAAGCTTATAACACATAACATGCTAACATCGAAGTGTTTGAAGGGAGTAATGACAGGTTATCCTTTAGCAATAAACGCTACTGATGTGAAAGTGACTGAAGTCGATTTTAACCCAGAGTTTCTATCTCGCGTGATTCCCAAGTTGGATTGGGAGGTAGTGTGGACGGCTGCCAACAGCATTGGCCACAGCGAAGGATTACCGAGGGCACTAGAACCGAAATTTGAAGAGAATGAAGAATTCCTCAAGAAGGCTCATCGAGTTTTGTTGGAAGTTGAAGTTGAAGAGGGTCACCTTACATGTCCAGAATCAGGACGACAATTCCCCATTTCAAAAGGCATCCCAAATATGTTGCTAACAGAAGCTGAAGTACAATAAATTTGTTTAGTTAGATAGTGTTTTTATGAATTTAAGCTAAGAGTTTTCAGTTGAAACATCCCTTGTTAAGAATCCCCAGCTATGGTAATATCAGAAAAATTATCCCAGTATGAAACTAATAGCCATTATTTTTTTGGGGAGAGAGTAGTGGCCTGGCATTCAGAGCCAAACATATTCAGTCAGAAAGGAGATTTACTCAAATAAGTATACCTAATTGTTTTATGTTTGAGCAATTTATTGAAGAATTACTGATCTGTTAATAAAAACGGAGTTGTTTTGAGTAATTTTGTTAATCAAAATCAGAAATATGTACATACATGTTGTCAAAAATTACAAAAATTTTGCACAAATTATTGTAGTTTTCTTATTTATAATATGTATTTAGAAAAACATACCTTTTATAATATACCAATATGTAATCTTCCTGTCTAATTTCAAAACTGAACCTGCACTCTACAATCAAGCAGTATCTACAACAATTATTAACAAATGAAATCAAAACAGCACTGTTCACCACTCAAGTCAATTTATTTATATATGTAGAGGGACCATAAGTAGATAGATATAGATAGGTTCTTAAGTTAGGGGAATTCCCCTACAAGAACTATAGTTTCTTTGTTCTTTTATCAGTAGTTAGCAATTTGTTTCTGTTAAAGCGCTTTTACACTGCGCGGAAATGAGGATAATTTCGATTTTTAGCTGTGAATGCAGATTTATAGGGCTAAGAAATCCTTACTACACAGTGCAAAAATTTTTGTTCTACGACAAATATTGACGAAGTTATGGCCAAATTACTAAAAAAGTTCACTGACTGCCCGGCGCGGGGACAATGACGTCACTATATCCGATCCGAACGCTGCCGGCGTACTGCGTGGATAGAAAATATTTTTTTCTAGCCAAATCTGTTTATAATTGCATTCCCAAAGGTTAAAATAAACATGTTATGTATTTTAAGAGTTTATTAGTAAAAAAAAAAGCTAAAATAGGATAGGAATGACGGAGAAAAACAATTGTGTGTGTGTAAAGCCAAAAATTTATAGAAAAACTAGCGGCCGCCCGCGACTTCGTACGCGTGGATCCCGTTTTACCCCCTTCATCTGTCTTACGCGATTTAGATTTTTTCATACAAATGTTTTTTCCCGCTAACTCCCGTTCCCGTGGGAATTTTGCAATATCCTGTTGTAACTAAGCTTTAAGTTTACTAAGGTACCTGCAAGCCAAATTTCAAGCGTCTAATTGAAGCGGTTTAGATTTTTCATACAAAAGGATTTTCCCGCTAATTCCCGTTCCCGTGGGAATTCCTAAGTATACTATAACCCGCCCAGGAGTATGAAGAATAATTGTACCAAGTTTCGTTAAAATCCGTCGAGTAGTTTTTGTTTCTATAAGGAACATACAGACAGACAGACAAAAATTTTACTGATTGCATTTTTAGCATCAGTATCGATCACTAATCACCCCCTGATAGTTATTTTGAAAATACAGTGTGAGTCACGTTAAAGTGTACATATGAAAATAGATGAAACTAGACCTATTTTTATCGACAAAAAAGAGGTCATTATTTTGATTTTTTTTTTAAATTTATTATAGAATTTTTTTTCTTCCAATTACTTATTTTAAGGAAAACGTAATAACTTTTAAACTAAGCGGTATATCCTGATAAAATAAAAACAGTAAAATGCTAAATAACAGGCAATACTAAAAAAATACATAAAATACACAAAAAATGCCAACAAATAATAAAAAATGATACTTTTTGAAAAAAAAAACATAGAGTTATTAACCCAGGAGTGGAACTGACAGGCAATCCCCTCTAGCAATGTGAGTAGACCAGTGGTTCACTCAGTTTATAAAAACTAGTTGCAGCGCCACCAATGACATATTCCAAATGTCACTATTGATGAGTAACGTGCTGAGACAAAAATGGTGAATTGCAGTGTATTTTATTGTAAAAAGATATCTGAAACTTCAAATCTTGAAAAGGACAATATTACCTTCCATCAGTAAATATTATTTTATTTATTTTACATTAATTAATACACTAAATTTGCAAAAAACTAAATTTCAAGAAGTGTTGCCACTGGAAAGCACAAATTCCTAATTTTGTAATATTTTTAAGAATAGTGTACTTACGAATATAATCGAAATTCTATGTTAAAAATTTGATACTGCCTACCTATTGGCAGGAAGTAAGTATTTGGAAAAGAAAGTTTTTTTTTATTTGGTCAATATACTAATTAATTAATGTAAATAAATCCTATGTCCAAACGTTTGTATTAATACAATAAAATAATGTTCGTCGAATCTGCCTATTTCATTATTACATAGTACGGTCAGTGTTTGGTAACCCAAAAGTGAACATTTTTATTTCAATTTATTTTTATTTTAATTTTTATTTCGATTTAAATCTCCTAGTAAATTCTTCGAAATAGCTAATTCACAAACCAAATCAGAAGTTAAACATATAAATAATTAAATATTTATTTTTGATATCCCATAACTCTAGGGTATTAATACGACCACATAATAGGATCGAATGGCTTATTTAATNTTTAATTTTAAATAGGTACAACGTACACGGTCCAAGGTACACCTGGTTTGTTGTACCTAGGACAGTTTTCCCTTTTTTTTTCTAGCAGCTAGTATGCCCAATTTTTTTAAATTATACACAATTTTATGAATGAATTATGTAGTTAATTAAATGATCTTTAAATATAACTGCACTAGACAAGTTTAACTATCACCATTATTTTTCAAAAAATCAAAATTCGAAAAACTGGCCTAAGTACAACAGGTTCCCCTATTATTTATGTTCAATACAAACAATCATTAAGTTACACTCACCCCAACCGCGTCTCCGCATTGCATCGAATCCTATGAAAATGTGGTTTTTGGACATAGCGATACTTATTTTTCACAATTTTTATTTTCAAAAATTACTGGTCGACGGTTACTGTATTTTGATGAATAAATGTTATTATAAGTTTTTTTCTAAAACTGATACACTCGCGAGCAAAAGTATGGAATCACTTACATGAAGTTGTTTCCACGCGATCTTGTGTACTAACGAATTTGTTAGTAACAAAAAAAGTAGCACCGTTTTAAAGATTAAACTTTTTACTTTAAATTGATACCAAATTCATTTAAATCACACCAGTATTTAAAAAGATATCCCGGCTGATGTGAAGAAGTAACGAAAAAGACATGTATCAACTGTTTGATACGTCACGAGTTGCGGCCTATTTACCCCCCATAAAAGCAAGTGTTTTCGGATTTTTGCTTTCATACGTTGATCCATACACATCTCCGCTTCTTTTGACACTTTACCTGGGATTCTACACCTTCAGAAGCAGCACAAATCGTTGCACTATTGCAAGAAGGGCTCAGCCAGCGGGCTGTCGCACGTCAGCTCCACATAAGCCAGTCCTGGGTTTCGAAAGTTTGAAGACGCTTTCAGGATACCGGTGGCTTTATCCTGAGACCAAGTCCTGAACATTGCCGGTGCACATCGCAGAGGGAAAACCGTTTTTTCATGTCAACTTCTCTACGAAATCGTCATTTGACTGGTATCGACGTCCAGCAAGAGCTCAGAAATGTTCGTAGGATAGCTGTTAGCGAGTGGACAGTTCGTCTAAGATATGAGCAATAAAATTTGACTCCAAAAAGGCCTGCCACAGGCTGGAAACTGACGGCACTGGGCATGACTTCCTCCTCGGCCAGAAGTTGGGTATGATTTACCCCCTCCCCCCAGGCCAGAAGCTGGGTAAGGCTTGCCCCTCCCCCCAGCCCATAAGCATAAGCTGGGTATGACTCCCCCTCGGCCAGAAAATGGGTATGACTTGACATACAAATCGGATTTTATAAAATTTATTTTGTATGAAAATTAAAAAAAAACAAAATGATGATATCAAATTTCTGACTTCACCATACCATTTATATGCCCATGTTAACATGGGCTTGTGTCGGCTCATATACCCATTTACCTAACACCCTGTAGAAAACTGGACCGAAATTGAAAAATTTTACTCGACTTGGCGGTTGCACTACCGTGCCCCCAAATATTTTAGTTTTTCCTTGATTCATACACCAAACACTAAGTACTTATATTCCAAAGGACAATGACCAAAAGTGGTCCAAATGTCCACCACTAATGAGACCTATATTGGCTTATAGTCCATTAAATAGAGATTAACTTTCAGTATGGGACGAAAAAAAAATAAGCTGTCTGTAAAAAGTTATGACTGTTTGAAAAATTGTAATAGTTTGCGCGCTAATCTCAGGAACTACTGGTCCAATTTGAAAAATTATTTTTGTTATGGATAGCCCATTTATCAAGGATGGTTTTAGGATAAATAACATCACCCTACAACCAATAGGGGCGGAGCAGTAAAGACAAATGTTGTAAAAATGGGAAATATTATTCAAACTATTTTCACGCGTACAAAGTCGTAGGCACAGCTAGTATAATATTTAATCAAATTCATCTATAAGCCCGCACCACATGCGACATGACATAAAATGCGTAGATTAGTCCAAAATGTGCAATGGATAGAATGGATATCAAGAACACTTTTCGGATGAAAAGGTAAAAAACAGACTTTTTATTCAGTCATAACTTTTTACTGACAGCATATTTTTGATTGCGGTTTGGTTATAATAAATCAGTATTTAGTAGACTATTTTACTACATTAGGTCTCGTTAGTGGTGGACATTTGGACCACACTCCATACATTTTTGGTCATTGTCCTTTTTGAAGCTTCTAGGTCTGCAGAAGTGCCTTAGAGTTTTGATGATCGGTGAGTCAGTGAGTCAGTCAGTGAGTGACAAAATTAAGTAATAACTTTGACCCGTTATAATTCTTAAACTACTGGTTCAAATTGAATGAAATTTTAAATATACCGTGTCTTTACAATGCCTGCATAGCTAATGAAAATTCAGCCTTCTAGTTTTATCCACAACGAAGTTACAGGCGGTCGTAAATGGCCTGAATTGCTTCGAGAAAAGGATGGTACGGCCGTGCCGCTTTTTTGCTCGACTTGGTGGGGGCACTACCGTGCCCCCAGATACGAATGGGATTGAACTGCAACTAATGCCATTATTGAATAAAACATGGCGTAAAACAAATGATTTATTTATTTTAAACAATAAATTAAATACAATCAATTTACTCTATACGGGTATTGGTAATATTTTTGTTTGTGGGCTTTTTATTTTCTAATATTCTAACGTAGCATGCTGTTTAGAGTTCGTCAGCATATGGAACAAAGGCGAGGTTTCCTGCAGCACCCATGGAAATCTTGGACTTGGCGACAGCACCCAATACCTGAAAAACATCATAATTTTAGCAAAGAAATTACAAACACGAATTTAATTTGGATAGCCCAGCATTATGTGCAACTATTTTCTGAGACTTATAATGGCCGAGAAAATTTATGACCATTATGTAGGTAGTTATGAACTACAATATTTTCCCTAAAGCGTTAGAGTAAATACAATCAATGGAATAACTAATAAACTTGGGTAGGACTTTTACAGTTCAAATACATATTTGAAAATGCAAAGGTTGTTAAGTGTCCATTGCAG